TGCGAAGAGAAAATCGGACTCGTCTAATCATGACGACATACTACACAACAGTTAAAAAAAGCAATGAAACACTATGATAACATTTCCAACTCATTCAAGCTAAATAAAATACTAAAACTAGGTAATGCCAAAAATCATGGGATTAATATTAAAATGGCGGGAAGCTCTAGAACGCCATCTTCAGAGGTAACGGATAATATTCAATCGAACATAAATCTTGGGCATTCCTCTACTTTGTGTTCATTTCCAAAACGAACGGCAAAAACACCTGAAATATATAATAATGCACTTATAGTAAGAAGTAAGTACACGTATTAGAGGACAAAGATCTCACCAGTACTCAACTTCAAAACTCACAGGAAGAAACCTTTTATAACACTCGAACAGTAACTAAAGGTAAGACAAACATCAATGCCAATTTGCTAATATTTAGCATATATGCAAGATATCGCAATAAGGATTGCTTTATAGAAGAACAACAGTGCTTTTTCAACAACTTCAAGCTTTACACAAACAATGCATACTACATTATAACAGGAGACTTTAATGCCAGACATAAGGAATGGGGCAACACGAGAACAAACAGCAGATATTGGTCAACCAATTTGGATTTAGACTGTAGCATTCCATAATTCATGCATTAAATAAGTTCTCATCAGACCTAAATAACCATATCCTGAATGACAAGTTGGTAGGAGCAGCCTTAATAAATCTTGAAAAAGCCTTCAATTCTTCCTTTAACAAGGAACAATGACATCTCTAACATTATTCAATATATTCAGTAGTGAAATAATAAACTTATACAACCTAATCATTTATGTGGCAAACAAAAATATCAACACAATGAACCAACAGTTGAACACTATTAAAAATCAAATTAACATATATTACTTAGACTGGAATCTCAGAATCAACCCCACAAAGCCCAAAGTAATAATCTTCAGAAAAACGGCCAATGAAATACCATTTAACGCTGTTAAAATATTGGAAAACTTCAAAATTATAATAAAGGATTCAATCTAACTTATAACGAGTGAAATACCAAATAACGAGTCAGTTAAGTACCTGGGAGTACACTTTGTCTGCTTACTAAAAATGTATAAATACCATCATCAAATATACAAAGCCAGGAAAACCTACAGAGTCAATGCCAAATTAATTTACTACCTACTACTGATCAAACCTATAATTACCTATCCAGCCCCAATGCTCTGGATGTCTCAACAATGGAGAAACTCAGAATTCCAATTTGTATCTATATAACAAAGAAAACATCCCTAGAGTCAACAACTTCTATGTTAGAATAACCAGAAATTACTTCTTCTCCTTGTATGATCTAAACAATGATGTTCTAAATAACTTAAGATGTGAGGACAAGCATAATTGCAATAGAATGATCACCTCAGACTACATGGCATCGGAGTTGTTTACACACCAGGATAAAATAGGAATTATTCAAAATGAAAGCAACATTCCAACAATCTACCACAACAATCTACCACTACAATAGGTATTGTATAAAAAAAAGACTACAGATTAACCTAGAAGGTTTCTTAGAAGGTATTAGAATTTATTCAATGATTATACTAAAGGTGGACCTCTACGATTACATTTTTGTTACAAAACAAAGCTAAACACTTTGATGAGATAAGAAGACAAGCTAAATGGAAAGTTAATATATACCAATAATGCCTTTACCCATCTACAATTTAGCGTAAAAACTGGATAAGAGGAACGAGATAGACCAAGTGTACTTCTATCAGCAGAGTATTTTCATTACTCCCATACAGAGTATAAGTTCCCACCCCTGTATATATGTAAATACTTAGACATTAATTACACTCCTTATTAACGTATGCTATAAGTCAGAAAGGCACGAGATGGCTATAATGGTTTTTCGATATTTTTTTTTCATTATAATAATTCGCTTATTGATAATTTACATTTCAATTCTCAATGCTTCACAATTATAAATAACCACCCTATAACACGGTTGTTACATTCCTAGAAACTGCCGCGATATGCGAATGCATGTTATATGAAATAAAGAACTGGTGCAAAAAAAAGGAGACTGAAAAAGTTCAAAAAATTAGAAAAATATAATTATCATTTCTAAAAAAAGGTTTAATAATACACACCCGAGAAATGTTAATTTATGCATAGTGTAGTAAAAAGAAAACACCAAGTTCTAAATTCTAACTAAGTTCTAACTTAATATTCCACGAACAAAATAGGATTCCAAATTCTAATAAATTTTAAAATGCTGCAAGAAAATGTGATATGACATACACGCTTAAATGAAAAATTTCCAATGAGTTATCTTGCGCACTTAAAAGCTCTTATTTTGTTCCGTGTTGTACGGGGATTTCTGTAATTATCGAAACGTGTTCTAGGATGCCGTGTTATATGAGAGTTGTTCCCAATTCTCAAGTTGTATTAGAGTGAATTCGAATTATAGAAGTGTCGTATTATACGGAGGTTACCTGTATTACGTACCAAATAATCAAAATAAAACCAAATTTTTCAAATAAAAAAAACCAGGTGCGTATGTCTTATAATTCATATACAGGTGTACATCATTTATATTCATTAACAAATTGCACATGTTTTAAATGTTTTAAAACGTGATACAAAGAACTGAATACTCGCGTGCATTCCGTACTTCATTCCTTAAGTGTTTCCAAAGTACCATTCTCCACTCTCCTATTGCAATTTAATCTATACTAATTGAACAATCATACGAGGAGGAATCTTCATTTTACATTCGTAGTATTTGTCGAAGACTGATAATTCGCGATACAAAAGTGTAAGTTTATACTTATCGGAACGTCACGTCATCGGATTCCCCCGCCAGCAACGCGTTTTCCAGCATCTGTGGTGTGTAGCGGGGCTACATGAAGATTAGGATCCCGTGGAGAGGCAAATTCGTAGTTTGTCGGCCACATGTCGTGGGCGTAGGTGCGTTGGATTAAACAAAGGCAGTCTCCGGGCGGGGCTTTCGATCCGTTCCGTCGGCGCATGCGCTGTGATTCTATGCTCAAACTCCCGTGAACATAGCATGCGGTATATAGAGAAAGAGAGAAGCAGCAAGAGGAATGAACGAATGTGTCCCTATTTTTTCGTGACGGCCATTTTGTACGTCGACTTAATATTCGCCTCTCATTTTCTCCCTTCTCGCATCTGTAACTTTATATCAGCGCGATGAAGTTCAATTGTCACACTGGTGGTCCTTTGTTCTCGCGGGGTCCCGTACCCGTAATCGAGTCAGTTAGCGCGCCCTTACACAGCGAATACTAACAATTCCAGAGCGGATTAGTCATCGATCGGTAACAATTACTGATCCTCATCCCCGTCGATGACAGGTGGTTAATGGAAATCGAAAGTTAATCCGATCAGATCTCGTGTTATTCAACGGCGCTGTTTTGACAATGCACGCAGAACATTGTAAGGTTTCGTTCCCTCTAACTATTTCATGAATTATGATAAATTGCGATTTTTCGACGTCACTTTTGATCCGGTTATATGGAAAATGCAAAAGTATGCATTATATGATGATTGATTAATTTTATGACACCTTAGTGTATGTTATTGTAAGTATTAGTATATTGCATTGTGTGCGAATAAATTGGCCTTTGTAATAACTG